TGCAAATGCTGTGAGCCCCAGGGGATGAGGAGCACTTCACATGCTGCCTGTCCTGCAAATAGGAAGTTGCTATTGGCCAGAAATTGGCCAATGGGTACTGGGGGTGAGAAGCCTTTGCCCCCTCCTCTGGGCTCTCAGCATTCAGAGATGCACTAGGCCTTGCAGCAGCCAACTTCACTGAGTGCAGAACTAGGGTGGGGCAGGCAGGAAGCTGGCTGAGGCTCTCAGGGACTAGATCTGGCATCTTGGTAGGCCACATCCAGCCTGCAGATCATACTCTGCCTAGCCCTGATTTAGAATGAGGGACTGTAGAGATTTCCTTAGCTTTACCCCTCTATAAGAAATGTTTTCTCCAATAATTATTTTACTTGCCCTTTCCTCTCCTTTTAGCATATTTTTCCTAGGGAAGGAGAGAAGCAAAAGCCTGCAAGAGCAAATGTTTCCATCTGAGAGAACACATTGTACTGGTGCAAAGACCTTTTCTCTTTCCTCATACACTGACTCTGAAATGCCAGTCATAGGAGTAAACATCACCATGGGAGCTCAGATTACAAACACAGACACCTCATCTGGCCTACAAAAGGTACAAATGCACATGTAGAGCTATGCATCTGTGAGGGCAAATATACATTATCACATGCAAACCAGATAATTCTGCCAGCACCTATATACAATTGCACAATTTCTGGTTTTGCACATGCAAGTGTATACTTGCACATTTGCACCTATTTGCTGTTGTAACTTACTGGTAGCACCTATTAGAGTAAAAGACACACTAAAAGCTTGTCTACATTTTACTGCACTTCAACATTCTTGCTTGACGTGTGAAAAAACAGACTGCTGAGCACAGCCAGTTACAGCACTGTAAAGTGCCAGTATAACTGTATAAATGAGCTTCCAGAGCTGGGAACTACTCCTCTCATTTAGGTGGTTTACATGGAGCACTGGGATAGTGTTGCAGACATACTTTCACTTTAAAGTACTTCCATGGCAGCTTGATAATATTTTAAGTGTAGACAAAGCCTAAGTCACCTAACTGCTTGTCCAAGTTTCTGAATACACATTATAGAGACATAATCCTCTGTTAACATGGCCTGTGGAAGTACAAATGTTTCTAAATAGTTGCAACCCAGCCTGGCCAGTTAGCACCACTAGAAGACAGAATTCTCTGTTTACCTCTGTCCCACTTGTCCACTCAGCTTGAAGCCAGTCTGATGTTATTTTTGTTTTATGTCCATGTGGTCCACAGACACATGAGTAGAACCACGTTCGTGAGTTTCACATATATTCATGAACAGGATACCGGGCTAGATGGACCTTTGGTCTGACCCAGTATTGCTGTTCTTATGTTCTATCAGGTGATAGTGTCTATAAGTTCTTGCCACCTGATAGCATATAGTTATTGCTACCAGGTGGCAAGAACTTATAGACACTATCACCTGATAGAACATAAGAACAGCAATACTGGGTCAGACCAAAGGTCCATCTAGCCCGGTATCCTGTCTTCCAACAGTGGCCAATGTCAGATGCCCCAGACAGAGTGAACAGAACAAATAATCATCAAGTGATCCCTCTCCTGTGACCCATTCCCAGCCTCTGACAAAGAGGTTAAGGACACCATTCCTATCCATCCTGGCTAATAAGTATTGGGGGACCAAACCTCCATGAATGTAGTTCTTTTTTTAACCCTGTTAAAGTCCTGGTCTTCACAACATCCTCTGGCCCCACATCCTCTAGATTTGAACTGGTGACCTACCCTTCAAGGGAAGTACTCTATCTCCCGTTGCCTATCTCTTAGCTAGCCATTAGACTTTGCTGAATGCTTTTAAACAGCATTAAAATATGATTTATGGCTTTGTTTCGGAAATGATTACTCATCTTTAAAGTAAAAAATGTTGCCATACGTGAAGGCTAAAGAGCCGGAGCTAATTAATGCTGCAACAATTTTCACACTGTTCTTGTATTAGAAATGAACTTCAGTTAACAGGATTTTGGAAAGCTAATGGGGTGGAGGTAAGGCCAAGCACAACACTAATGTAATCTTCCGCTGTTCCTGTTGTCTCATTTGTTAACCATTATTATTATGACTTGGGTCAAAATAGTTGAAAGGAATTACATTTTCCTCTGCCAAATATTTTAGCAGGACTAACAGACAAAAAAGATGACAAATCAGGATGGGAAATCCTAGCCCTCGCAGCTCTTTTTCCCCTGCATTTCGCTTTTCTTTTGCACTCGCCTTTGTGAGAATGAACACAGAGTGAATATATATTTCAACCCATGCCTTTTTATTCTCGGCTCCTCTGTGGGCTTAGATTCCAGATTTGCAGGGAATTCCAATTAAATACAATCAGTGTTATTACATCTACCTTCCGTTTCACAGGTTTGAGCCTTGCTGTGTGGTTGTCTCGTGTGCTAAACTCCCCCCCCCCCTTTCTGTCCGTAATCCTTTCCCAGTAATTCCACAAGATATCCATAATGGAATTGTCAATCAAAAGTGAGCCAGAGGAAAATGCTGTCTGAGTACAAAATGGCCTATGCAGACTTCTCAGCAATGTAATCCTTAAGCAGACCCAGTGGCAACTGCAAAGCTGCTGTAACAACTGGTGTCAGAGCTTGCCAAGAAGTCAGTTGCCACCCCTAGTAAAATGTAATCCATACACTGATACCTGGATCTTGAAAAAAAACAAAGGAAAAGGAATCATTTGTGAAAGACAAGTAGCGATCGAATAGGGAGAATCCTATTTAACTTCAGATTAAATCTTTCTGCTACATTTCATGGTTTTTTCATGTGAAATTGTTTCTTTCTGTTAAATAAATTCAGAACCATTTTCATGCATTCCCCCAAATCCAGTGATGTAGCCTGCTGTGGTTGGAGAGGATTTGATCACATTTCAGTAAAACAGGCATGGTGAAATGAACGTACCTGAGAAAATGCACAGTATTTGGGAAATGGTTTTTCTGCTTCCCACACCTGTGCTTTCCTTAAAATAAAGATTTTAAGGAAAAAAACAGGAAGAATACTTACAATCAATGTTCCCCTGAATCTTTTCCATCCATGTGTGGATTTTTGCCATTCACGTTGCAGAACACATTTTCATGTGCAGTGAGGCATGTTGAATGTGCACCACCAATAGAAAGAAAAAAACCTAGCTGTGGGTTTTTTGCTGGGGCGCCATTAGAATCTCGCACAAACACCCAGCTTCAAGGGAACGCTGCTTATAATGGCATATGGCACCTCAGCCCCAAACCCAGCTTTGCATGCCTCACTCCTTCAGAACAATTACTATACAGTTTACAGATGGAAGATCTTTGCATAACGGCTAGAATTGTTTTTTTCTGAGCGTATGGACTCCTAGGCTATGTCTACCCAGCAACATTATCTGCGTCTACAGAGCCGGCCGTTATTTCGACATAATGTCAAAATACTGTCAAGCTGGAGGACTTCTTACTTCAACTCCTGTAACCCTCATTGTACGAGGAGTAAGGGAAGTCACAGGAAGAGTGCTCTATTTCAAAATAAGTGCTGTGTAGACAGCACCAAAACTCAAAATAAGCTATTTCGAAATAAGCTACACAATTGATGTAGCTCTATTTGTGTAGCTTACTTCAACTTAAGCACTGCTGTATAGATGCACCCTTAGAGCATATGCCATATATTCTGTGAAGGGCTTGATCTGATAGAACTATTGTAGGGGTTTTTTGTTTTTGTTTTTTTGAACAACAGAAAATGTGTATCCTGGCTCAGATTTAAGAAATGATCATTGAGGTGACCATTTATTCAAAACAAGAGTGTAAATATGTTTTGGAAGCAAGACCCCTTTTTATATAACATAGGCTTATAATTATAACATTTATTTACAAACATAGTATATTGGCAATTCACAGGCAATTAGTAGTAACAGACAATCATCATATGGTTTACATCAACTCTCTGAATGTTTTGAATCTCATAACTTCTTGTTATGAGATCAATCTTTGAGGCTAATCTGTCCCACATGAGCAGTGCTAAAAGATTGTCTTCACTGTGGAGCACCGGAGACATGGCTTAAGTAAAAGCAGTGACTTTCTCAGATAAAGGCCATTAAATAAGGCTGTGTACAAATTTGACACTTTGTTTTGTTGCCTTACACAGTCCCTTGGAAGGGTTTAAGAGAACAAGATCTGACTAAAGCTTTCAAAAATGCATCCCGGAATATTTGCTAACCTTGTTCTTTGTGATTGTTGTAGAACAAAGATAGTACTCTTCAAATGGAGATAAATGACTGTCTTTCAAAAGATTACCACCAGTCTTAATCAAGTTTGCTCCTACAGCTGAACAGTCAGTGACCTTGTTATTTGCACAACAAACATGCCTGCTAGTCTATATTTACAGGTAGCACATTTAATCTAACTATCCTGCCCAGCATGGCTTCATGGACTTGTTACACTTAAAGCTTTTATGCATAATTTAGCAGATTCACCGATTTGGTGGAATGGGAAGATCCAACAGACAGTAACTAAATATTAAAATTGGTTTGTTTTAGATTTACCTGTCCTGTACTGAAAAACCCCACCTCTCCGCTGGGTATTTCAGCAGAATTTTCTTAAATGAACATATTGGGTTGGCAAACATTCTTTAGGGAGCTGACACATCAGTTGATGATGCCACAGTGCTTATTTTATGCAGAGCTGTTTGGGGTGGAAATAAGAATGGTATTAATTATTAAATTATGACATTTAATTGTATTTCCTTAATGTCTGTGCCAAAAGAAAACATCTGTTGTTAGAGTAACTATGAAAATCTGGATTGTTAACAGTTTGGAATGAAGTGTCCTTTAAGTTTAAAATTCAGACTTGCAGGCTAAGCACTTGGTTTTTCCACAAACAATATGACCTTTATTGGAAGGAGTGCCTCTCAATGTCTCACAATGGCCCAGCATGGCAAGAGATCAAGCCTGGGGTAAAGGAGTGTTTTCTTGTTCTCTGTAGAAGCCACCGCCCCAGTGGGCAGTGTTTGTGAGTGCTGTTCTGAATCAGTCATAACATGAAAGGGAAATCAAAGCCACTTTAAGACAAAGCATGTGACATTATAGGGCTGGCTGGAGAACAAGAATTCTGTTTCATGAAAAATATCAAATATCAACATTTGGTTTCATCCCACATTAGAATGAAAATGGGACCTTTCAAAAATGTTTGTGGAAAAAACATGTGAGAGAAACCCACAGGAGTCAGCAGTCTTCTGATTAGGCCACTCACCTGGTGAGAGACCCAGCTGCCAGTCCCTCCTCTAATTCAGTGCAAGAACTGGACCCTCTGTGTACCATATCCCAGGTGAGTGCCCTCACTTCTGCCTATTGTCTTTTATGAATGTGGACGTCTCTGACTTTGACCAGAAAATTCATCTGGGCCTGAGAATGCTTTTTGAAGAATCAGCATTTTCTGACCAAAACCCCCAAAAGTTTTGTCAAAAAATTCCCAAACAAATCTATGGCTTTACTGCAGGTTCAGACCACATAATTATAAGAATAGTCCCTAGGGAGTTTATATGTTTCTTGGTTTAATACCAATGGTTTTTACTGAGTATTTTTAAATTTTTGACCCATGCCAAAAGCTACATGGGATTTCAGGGCACTCTGCACCAAGACTCTAACAAGGGCCAGTTGAGAGGTGGGGTGGGGAGGGAGTGTTGCTCCCAAACTTAGGACAAGAGAACTAGAAACATTTTGCCTCCACTGTGGAAGTTGATGAAAGTTTCAGAGCTGGAATGTTTGCAAAAATCCAAGGGAGAGAAACATTTTCTTCAGGGCTCCAGGCATCTATAGAAAACATGGAAATGGTTTTTAAGTAGTTAGGACTCATCCAGTTTTTATTATTCTCTGTCTCGATGCAGTGTCTCGTAAATCCTGCACTGCTTGTTTGAGGCTTAAATTCACCCACTAATGCTCACCGTGCACTTTTATTACAGTGTTGGACCAAGGAAGATATGAATAAATAACTGCACTGATTTCCATTTGTTCGATCAGCTCTCTGATGCTCTGGTTGATCATCCCAGTAAGTGGTTAATCCTGCTAAGTGCTTTTATCTACTGGAGCAAAACCAGGGCTTTTAATGTTGCTTTTGTAAAACCAGCTTCACGTGATGTTTTGTTAGAAAGAGAAGCTCAGATCATGGCCATATGATTAAAACAGCTTTTCCCCCCCTCTCTCTAACAAAACATCACATGGAACTCCCTTTAGCAACATGAAAATCCCAAGTTCAGAGCTGGTTTTGTGACTTTTACACAATTATTGTGCATAACTGCAAAATAGTGTTTAAAATGTTTAATAATTAAAAGCTAAGCACTTGCTATTACTTATTAGCCATTTTTAGCCCAGGGTCTAGCTGAGCTGCATGTGGTGCTGGACTAAGGTGGGAACAAAGATATTTGTGAACCAGCTTTGTCTGGTTCTCCCACCCAACCCAAATTGATCCCTGAGGCTGCGGGGGCCAATTTGATTAACGGAGCAGTTAACAAAGCAGACAATGGAGTGCACAATCCCAGGCATGCCCCTAATATGCTCCCTATGCCAAGGGCCCAGGATGGGGTTGGTGACATGCAACCAGACACAACAGCTTTACACCACATGGTTTAATCCTCAGCTACTCGGTCAGTCCAGTGTTGACTCTTCATCACACTGCTAGAGCAGTGCAAAGCAGTTTTAGCATGAGGCAGAAATCTAGCCCATATTTCCAAATTTTCAGTGGGCTTCTGCTAGTACACCTGCATATCATATACTTGATCTGATGAGGTATGTGAACACCCAACTGTGCCCACACAAGGAACAATATGCAGAGTGGATAGTTAGGCTAACCAAGTCTAGTTCTGCATTTGTAAACAGGTGTGCACATAATTTTGGCAAATGCACAAAGCATCTGCTGAAAGCCTGGCCCCTGTTGTTTAATTTTTAACAAAGCCTAGACTTAGAGAGAGAAGTTAGAATGTTCCACAAAATAAAACAGCTGTTTTTGCAATCAAAAGCTGAATGGACAGTATGTGGGAGCCTCTTAGGGTCAGGCCCCAAATTTGCCAAGAGCTGCTAGTGAAAAATGAGATTTTTCTTGGGTTTGCAGAAGTTGCTTTCACTACACCATCTTTGTACCTCACACCCAAACATTTCCAGACAATATTAGCCTTTGAATGAAATAGTTGTGACAACCAAAAGGGTTCATTTTGTCAGACATGTACAACTGCTATCATATTTGAGTGGGGTGGAGGGGGGTGCATGTGTGTGTGTTTGTGTGTTAGCTGATATATTGGAGTATGTAGCATTTGAGACCTAAAATGCTTTGGTGCAGAAAGAAGAGATTGAAACTCTCTGTCTAATAAAATAGCCATTTCGGTAGAATGTTGTTTGTCATTTACAGGCAAAACATATTGTCTCTCCACTCCCATTTCCTGCAGACTCACTCTTGCCAGTTTCTTTCTCTTTTCCTGACTCCTTTTCTTCAGATTCATATCACTAAACCCATGAACTCTATAGGGTTGCCAGATGGTTGAAACAAAAATACCGAAACCCTTCCTCCCCTCCCCCCGAAAAAAAAAAAAGCAAACAAAAATTCTGTTGAAGGGGGTCCCCACCTCTCCCCCCAAAAAAACACCAGGGAAAAATTCTATTGGAGGAAAAAAAGGGGGAGACGAGACCAAAGTTGTTGAGCAAAAAAATAAATAAATAATAAAACAGCATGTCCCCTTTAAGAGTGAGTGCGGGGATAGGAACAGGGAAGTGGTTGAGCACTAAGACCTAGGGGAGGCAGTGCGTCCCCTTGGTCTTTTTGCCAGCAGCTATTTTGTACCAGCACCCTTGCGGAACCAGAAAAGTATGGGGTCTCGGGTGTTTGGGGCTCGGGTGGGGGGAGGCCAGGCACTGAGTGTTTATAGGGTTGCCAGGTGCACAGCATTTTCACCTCCTGGCCGGGGAAAAATTCAGAAAATACTGGACATCTCAGGTGTCCGGTATTCTCTGAATTTTTTTACCGGATAGGAGGCGAAAATACCAGACTGTCCGGGTGAATACCGGACACCTGGCAACCCTAGAACTCTATAAACCAATAACAATAGTTATTCTGTCATTGCAGGTCAGATTCTCTACTGGTCTATATAGGTATAGCTCTGTTGCTCTGGCCCCAGATCTTTAAGAAGTCAGGCACACAACTGCATGTGCAAATGTGTATTCAGTTAAAGCTATGGTGCAGGTAAAGTAGTTATTTGTAGGGACAAATGGTGAAATATGAATCTAACTGGCCAACTGCATGTATCATAAACAGCCTAGCAGGGTTATACAATCTCTATCACTGGAGATATTTAAGAGCAGGTTAAATAGACATCTATCAGGGATGACCTAGATCAGAGGTTCCCAACCTTTTTTATTCCAGGGGCCGGCAAACCCATTCTCAAACCTTTGGCAAACTGGTATCATTTTATTTGCATATTTGCATATTCATTATGCAAATACATAGGTAACGACATTGCCTGATCGCCTAGCCCCAACCCAGCCCCTTGCTCCCTAGTGCCTAACACCCTTTGACCCCTACGCCCCATGCCCTTTAACCTCTGACCCCTATAGTCCATGCCAACACCCTCTTGCCCCATGACCACTATCACACTCTCACTCAACAGCCCTTTGCCCCCACACCTCAGAATGAGGCTGCCCCCTAGGGAGTGTGACAAGGGAGAATGGCTGTTGGTGGCGCATGCACTCCCTCCTCCTTCCCGCCTCCTCCCTCCCAAGCGCATATTGTCCCCCATGGGTGGTGGGAAGGGAGTGCAAAGCCCTGGCCAGCCAGCCATTACTGAGGGAGGCAGGGAGGTGCCCCCTCCGCCTTCTCCTGCTGCTGCTTCAGTGCCATTGCCCATAAAAGCAGCCTCACGGGCAGACTGTGGAGGCCCGGCTGGCTGCTATTACTGAGGAGGGAGGAGTTTTCGCCTCCACCTACTCCTGCCACTACTTTAGCCCTAGCACTGCTGCTGGCAAAAGTGACTGCGCAGGCAGGGAGGGCAGCCGTTGGCAGCGTGCATGCTCCGTCCTCCTTCAGACCCCCTCCCTCTCCAAGCATGGAGGAGGGAGGAAGGCGCCTCCTGCTCTGCCTCTTCCTGCCATATCAACCACCGTGGCTGCTGGAGCTGAGCTGCCATGAATAGCCGTCTTGAGCTTCAGCAGCTACTGGGAACCACTAATCTAGATGGTGCTTGGTCCTGCTGTGAGGGCAGGGGATTTGATTTGATGACCTCTCAAGGTCCCTTCAAGTTCTAGTATTCTATGATTCAATGACCCAATTTAAACATACAATCATGACAACAGGGCAAATAAATTAGACAACCAATTGTATGCACATTTTTCATGCTCTAGTGCACGTGACCTTTTCAAATTCAGGCTTGAAACATCACTGAACACTGTTATAAAACTCTGGCTTTGTAACTGCTTTTACTCCTCAGTGGTTAACCCCAGGACTCCAAAGGAACTGATAGTTACAGTATGATGCTAGTTTTGCTTAGCATGCATATTTTTCTTTTTGTATAACTACATTAGATTAAGTGAATCTGTTGCAGTTGGACCCTTGTTAGGAAGAAGCCCATATAGCACTACTTCCTCCCAACACAACCATGACATACATGTTCTATGTAAGCAATTTTCTATCAAATGTTTTTAGACTGGTTCTTGAAACCTAGTCCAGGCTATGCCATGTGAAGAGTGTTTACTTGCTTTTTGATTCTGTGTTTACTTTTCTCCATCTGTTCAGCTGTTTGCCTTGTGTTTCTCTGTCTACCTTCTGGTACAAGACAAAAGGTCCTTCTTTATTTTCCCCATCTCTGTCTTTGATGTTTTTGTACTATGACTTCTGGGCACTATTTTTTTGTTTAGCATACAAGTGGCTGGGCTAATGATGAACTGGCAAGACATAAAAGTTATGTAGAATGCCTATAGATTCTCCATACCTCTCTTCCCCACTGTCCCCCATACTGTGGGCATATACAACTAGAGGCTTCATTTCTGCTGGTGTCTCCCCCATGTTCCCAGTGTGCAAGCTACAGTGTGGAGAGACTTAACAGAGCATTTTCTGGCCATGTTAACCACACCTTTCCCCTGGCCAGCACCATCCACTCTTGGGGCTCTACTAGACTCATGGCACCAGTGTAGACTCTCTTCTCCGCAGTATATTTTCTGCTGCCAGGAGCTCAGTGTAATCCTGAAGCCTGCCCCTTAATCATGGCTGGACATCACTTCCTCAAGTGATATAAGTAATCTGTCTGCTATGGACAGAAGAGCAGAGTGAGTAGAGTGCAGACAAGTGCACATCCTAGTAACCCAATAGCACATATCTCACATATCTGCAAGAGCAGAAGTAGAGGAGTGAGAAAGCAAGCGAATCCATCACCAGGAATCAAACCAGAGAAGAAATGACAGCACCAAAGTTAACTGTAGACTCATGAGAGTCAATGCTGTTTCACGAAACATTTCCTTAGGAAGAAAAGGCGAAGAAGCAAAGGCACCAAAGTTAACTGTAGACTCATGAGAGTCAGTGCTGTTTCACAAAACATTTCCTTAGGAAGAAAAGACGAAGAAGCAAAATAGATTACTTCAGGGGATGCCAAGGAGGTCATGAAAGCCTTACAGAGTGAAGAGGCTAAAAATATCCAGAGAGTAATTAAAGATAACGAAAGAATGGTGAAAGGAGAAAGATTGATGGACGCATTATGAATGTGATCCACACTTATGAACAGCGCAGCCACAATTGAATGAATGGTGTCTGACTTATGAACAGATCGAATTACGACCAAGTGTTTGGTACGTAATTCATTCGTAAGTCAGGGACTGGCTATATTATAGAGGAACAAATGTGGATCAAGACAAAATTATATCACTTACTCTTAGGATAATGATATAATTTACTGGAAAGTTACAAGTAAATCCCTGAAGGAAACTGAGCAAATACTTTTCCAGCAGGAGAATTTTCAAGATTGCCTTGTTCTGCAGCAATTCTTCTTAAGTATCTGAACATTTCTTGGTATTCCA